ACGACGTGCCTCAAGAAGAGCCAGTCGCTGATAAATTATGCTACGCCATAGTCACACTCGCTCTATTATTGTACACACACGTTGTTATTAAATTATCAGTGAATACCAGCAATTTCTGTTGATTCAGGTAAAATCTACTGAGTAGTAATATAAGTTGTATATAGCTAGATAATAAGTATTTTTCTATTACAGTATTTCACTGCAACAGCATTTGTTGGTTTTTTACACCTTACTCCAATCCACTGTCTTTATTGAGTCTCTACGTTAGGGACCTATAAATCAACACAAAGTATGGGTGATTTAAAGGCAAGATTTCACATTGTATTAGAAGCTGCAACCTCCAAAACTACGGTGGTTAAGGTCAAGACAATACAACTAGTCGATCAACAAGAAGTCTATGAACTCCCGGCCAACCAACAAACAATAAATCATCACAAAAAACTTTTTGAACATGCAGTGGTGAAAGGAGTCGTCAAAAATCTCAGAGAACGTAATAAATTTCGAAATGTGATTATCACTTTAACAAAGGAAGGGCTTAGCGACGAGTATCTGGACGAGGAAGGTAATGTTGTTTTTAACGAGTATTATTTGGAGGTCGTCACAGATATTATCTATCCACCACCCCTCCCACCACTAAATTCTTCTCCCGAAAAATAAACGTATTCACTGGCAAAAAATATGGTCGTAGAAAAGTTTAATAGGAAAAATTTTAACGCGGACGCTTGGCTGAAAATTTTTGTAGACGAATGCACACGCCTTAATATACACGAGAATCAATACTCTGAAATCTTGAGATTATTTTTAGAAGGTAGTGCACTTGACTGGCACACGATATTTTTAAAAACACATTCTTTAACTTACGAATGAGAATTTTGAGATAATTCTTTCATAGAAACGTTTAATCAAAAATCATGGTCTGAAATTGAATATGCGTACGAGTATAAATATTTACATGGAGCATTCTTTGAATTTGCACTAAAAAAACGAAATCTATTAATCAACGCAGATCCTGATTTAACAATAAATTCTCATATAAATTTGATTGTAATTGCTCCAAATTACGTTGGATTAAACTCAATGGTAAAATAGAAACAGTGAAAAATTTAATGGCTAGTTTGGAAAGAATAGAGCCTATGGTAAATAAGCTTAAGAATTTAATTATAGAGGACGGTAAACAAAAACAAAGCAAGCCAAACGAAAGGCAGGAAAATGATAAATCCCCCTGCAAGTATTGTAAAAGGCTACCTAAACTAATATCATTCGAAAAATTTATGTTGAACAAAATTTAGACAAAATATATATAAAAAAATAAAAATCACGCATAATACTAAACTAGAAAATTTAATCCCTTCTACTGAAGAGGCAAAAAACTAATTGTGACCCCACTTATAAAAATAAAAATCGAAATTAATAATAACTCAGCTACTGCGATTTATGACTTAAGGGCGAATGTGTCGTTAATTAATTATAATTTTTGGGAGAGTCTTAACGTAGAAAAAAATGTAAAAGGGGGTAATATGAAAACATTATCTGGTATTTTGAAATCGGATGGTATAGTCTCGGTAGAAATGAAAATTTTTTACATCAAGNTATATTATACTAACTGTTTGACTGACTCAAATTTGAAATTTTTTCAGATGCTCAGTCAAATCTCTGATTTTATTGATAAAAAACTTAAACTATGTTTGTCTTTTTTTTGTATCAGCTCGAGTATTAAAACACCCATTGTTTGTTTGAGTTTAAATAGAAGTATATTGCCTCCTGTAAACATGCATATTGCTATTCACATAGTATCAGATAAAGTAGTTTAGATGTTAAAAAATAAATTGTTCATTACACTGAGAATGGCGATGTAGCAAAATACATAGTACACAAGTCATTCATACTATTTAAAAAGTACGATAATAGGTCTATTTCAAAATTTCATATTTATATCACATTAATAGTAAACTCTTTTTGTAGTAATTTAACGCTTAAACTATCAAAGAATCTCAAAAAAAAAAAAAAAATTTTCAAACAAACGAAACATTATTAGAGTTATCACATCTGTTTACTTAAGTACATGTACCTAGTCATATTTTAATTTGCTGTGTCAACAAATAATTTTATAGTTCTTAGCAAAAGTAATGAAAGGTTGTTCGTGAGAAAGTATGTAATGTAAAGATGTAAAAGCTTTTGTTTCCTTAAGGTATATGTTACATCAACTTTATTCTTGTTGTAGTTTGTAAGTTAAAAAAAAGTATGATCAGCTGTTTTACGTTTACTATCATATTATCAAATAGTGTAAGTATGCCAGTGAAATTAAATAAATAAGGACTGTTTTTTAACTTTTACACAGACCAGAATTGACACAGTTAACTTTAATTTTTTCTGGGTGAGAAAACCTGTTCTGAATTTAATCCTATTTGGGATATGAAGAACAGTGTAAAATTAATGTTTCAATACGCAAAAATGACAAAAAATCAATTTTTGGTTTTTGCTCTTAATGCTTGGTAATTACAACTAACGGACTTTTATAATTTGAAAGTAATAGTAATCTGAACTGTTTAAGGCTAATTCAATTTAATTTTGTCAACTTATTCAAATATCAAATTTTAATATATTGAAAGTAATAGTAATCTGAACTGTTTAAGGCTAATTCAATTTAATTTTGTCAACTTATTCCAATATCAAATTTTAATATATTTAAAGAAATTGATCCTCTCATCAAAATAAAAAATAAATACAACAAAGTATTAGCAAAAAGACAATTTGATGTGGGTACGGTAAAAAATTTTGAAGCTACAGTAAAACTCATGGAAAATAAGAACATATTATTCTAGTTGTTGAAGAGGTTACGAAAAATCATCTGTGTGCGAAGGGCAAATAAACACCAGTGTTATCTAAGTAAAAAAGACAACAGGCAAATTTTTTCTTATTTCTTGGATGGAATGTAGATAGCGACCCCGCTTAAATATTGCAAGGGCATCTTTTTATACTATACAGTTGTTAAGGCACGGCTTTCGACAGAACGCCTCGAACTCACCACCTCTCTTCATCTCTTACTACCCCCAGCAAAAAAAAGATCCTTTGTTTGTATACATAACATCTTCTCTTAAGATACTTAATTTGTTTCTGAAATGTATATATTTATTGCATAGATCATGCCAAGTATTGTCTACTGTCTCTAAAGCTTTTTTCAGAGTTACCAAAGCCTTATCTCAAAATATGAAATCGACTCAACGTGAATTTTTGTTCAGATCTGAATTCGAAAAAATACAATGATAAGTGGAAAATTTCTATGACTGATCATTCCCTTTGGTTGTAGTATTGACATCATGATAGTCTAGGCCATTAAAATATTTGCTGATGAAACAAAGTAATAAAATTAATGTCTTAAAAAAAAGTTTCTCCTGATTGTTTACTATTTTTTACATAAATTTCATGATCATTTCCACATATATTTCTTAAAACAATTTTTCGTTCGTTATGTAGCTGAGAATAATTTAAATTTAACGATGTTTACGGAATACATCTTCCTTTGTCTTATAACTGCTTCATAATTTAACTTTTTTTGTTTCGGTAAATTAAATACTAAACATGATTCGTGTTACAGTTTAAGAATTTAACTAATCTTTAGAAAAATAAGGCTCTTGTCATAATCAACAAAATCTTCAGTAAAATACTTTTTCCGCCTTCTAACTTCAAAATAAAACCTTTGCTGCTTGAAGTTGGATTGGAAGAATAGTGTATGAAACTCATTCGAAAAGGCTTTTTTACGAACCTCGTTACCACATGCCTCACCTTCGGCTCATGCCATAACCCTCTTGGTTCGTAAGTCCAAGTCTTTTGCAAACTTGTAAGTAATATACTGTTTATAATTATTCCAAATTTTATCGCTTTTTATACTTTCTGATTTTAATAAAGAAACCTTTTTAGCAGCTTTCCCATGTATTAAGGAAAACTCCGTTCAATTTATCTGTCATTATAACCGTATAAAAATTAAACGAATCCTCCGCATCGCCTCTCCACGGCCCTTTGACTGCTCCACTACTGTGGCCATATAATTTTTTTATCCCTCCACCACCTCCTGCGTACTTTTTGTACAAACATAACCATATAATAATCAACTCCTTGTGCTTTCTACGCAATAACTGCTTTGTTATGCGAGAGGATATTTTTATAGAGATTTTAATAAAAAAATTCATTGTTAAAAAACACTTTATGAATAATGTTGAAAAAGTAGCACATTTACGGCAGTGTTACCTAATTTGTAAGAGATGTGAAAAAAATTCTACAAGAAAAGATTAATTAAAAAAACATTTTACTTGTCAAATGTAAATTAAAGATTGTTAAAGCTTTGAAAAACTTATCAGCCATTTAAGTAGTTATTTACACAAAATTTTTTTGTTTATGTTAGAATAACTATTAAAAGGTTTCTGACGAAAGATCTTACAACAATGTAATAGAGATGTAATAAAAATTTCAGCAAAAACGATTTTAACAGAAAATTATAAAAATAAAAATTTATTTCGTAAAAAGTAGATCATTTACTGCACTTGAATGGTACTTTTATCTGTATACAGTTATATGATTATCCTTAATTAAAGTTTATTTTTATTTTACTTTTCATCGTTATGTTGTTCATATCCATGCTCCAACAAAAGTAGATTTCCGTATCTACTCAGGTTGACTCGGCAAAGATTTCGAGGGTCAATCTGTGTTGATTTAAAAACCACTACCATTAAAAAATTACCACTGGCAAGAGTAACAATTCAGGAACTAACTACAAATCAAAACTCTGAAAAATGTTTCAAGTCGATCTGAAAGAGATTTAATGTAACCTCTAATAGAACTAACAATACCTTAGCTGACAGAGAATTGCGCCGTAGCCAATAGGCTATCGCTTGGTCATATTTTTTATGTAATGCATACAACGAATTAGATAAATTTTAAAAAATGTATAAACTTACAAAACAGTATAAACGGTACTAAAATAGCTTTAAATTTGAAAGTATTACCTTGCAGCAAAAAGGGCATGTTTGATATTGGAATAATGTTAGTTTTAATCCTGTAGTATCCAGCGGCGAAATTATCTGGAAACAAACATTTTTAGTGAATACGATAAAAAATTATTGTACTATTGAAGTATTTGTAATGATTGTTAGGATATAACCACTATTATAATTTTAATTCTAGCAAAATGTCAAATTGATTTAGAAGTATATCTAAATTGTAAGATCTTGTATTCAAATGAAAATATTGGCAGGCAGTATGATTCAAGGTTCTTTGAAAGCCTACACGCAGAAGGCGATTTAAACGAGGAATTTCACCTTCAGATTGCATAAGATCGAGTACGGTTATACATATAGTATAGGGGGAAGAAATACTCAGATATTCTACTTTCGTCGCTTATAAATATCCGTACCATGAACGCTAATATGCAGTCTGTTCTCTATTTTTCCTTCCTATCACACAACCTCTTAGAAAATATTTCATGGGGTAGAAAACCAGACGAGAGAATTACGTTGTTGCGACAATAAATAAGATAACAATTATACACTACATGGAATACTCTAGGCACACAAAATACAAGAGTGTAATCATAATTCAAGCACCAAAATACAAAACTCATACTTCAGATCTTAAGAGTCCCGATTGTCTCTTTATTTATTGAGGCAGACAAATAGACACACACCACCGATAATTAACAACCATTACAATACTGATTGAGACCGTTTTAATTATAAAAAGATTGTAGGTTGCCCAGAGAACGTAAACCATATCACTGTGTTCCACATTAACAACCAAAACTATTAAATTAGTACTTTCAAAGCAAAAACTATATTTTTTGTAGTGTCGGATTACCTTACAGGATGGTACTTGGTAATTCAGATACAAGTACTAAATTGATCCAATTGAAAATTTCATTCCTATTTATTAAGATGAGCTTATTAAAAAAAAGTTTATCATTCTATATGAAGTAACACAGTCATTTTTCAGAAACTACATCGTGTATACATCTGAGGGGTGGTACGCGTATCATATGCTAAAAAACGCTAATCATATGTAGATTTATGACACAAAAGTGGATAAATATTTGAGTTTTCTCATCAAAAAAAATATCCAGGTGTTTTAACCTACAATAAAAGATGTCGAGACCACACTTTACTCCCTAAAGTGAACCTAGACATCGACTTTAACATAAATAAATGTATCTAAACATTCAGTTCAACAGACATCTTACTAATATATGAAGAAAAGTCACTAAAACTGTTAAAATCGCTGACAGTGAAAACTACAGAACCGATTTCGCTAAAATTTTTCATACTGATTCCTGATGATTCCGAGATGGTTTTCGAATAGTTTTTTTCTTGAAAAAGTTAAGAATCAATAGCGATAAATAAGCTCAAAGTTTTGCCAAAATAAGGTAGATTTAAGCTTTAGTTCAGTAGGATCCGCTAGATGGCGTTGACGTAAAATTGAAGCCACCTGCAATCAGAGATAGTGAAGAGTGGTTATAAGGTGCCCCATTGAGTTATACAATATCGTAGTCGTTCATCAGCAAGACATCTAGAACAGAGTCGTTAGTTGTGCAGCTGGGCATCCCAGCTACCGATGACACTCTTCTTTCATGGGCAAGCAAAATAAATCGGTTGTACCCTGGATCGACAAGATAACCGAGTTCCATGGAAAAGTTGGCGTTCGGGGAATGTCAACATCTCCAGTAAAATACCAGGAGACGTGCCTAGATAGAGCGCAATACAACCTGTTTTAACACTTCAGAGTTTGGTGACAGTTTAACCATCCAACCTGGTGCCATCAGAGAAATGTCTACTTCAAATGCAAGCCAGGGAAGACAGCCCTGAAGAGTGCTGGCAGCCACAACGACCTCCTTTTTAGTGGTCGTCCTAACGGTATACCTACAGAGAAGGTATTCTCCAGGCCCACTTACCCTACTAACGATGAGCAGTTGGTTATCCAGAGAACGACCTGAAGACGAGATATTATTTGGTCAGCGCATTCCTCCAGTACGGTCATTATATACAGAGACTCCAAGGAAATGAGTCAAGCTACCCACAGCTGGCTCTTCATCATTACGAACAATAATAAGGATAACTGGAAATTTCACCACTGGCCCTTTTCAGGGCCCTTAAAAGTATTTCCGTTCCCTACTTAACTATTAATCTCATTAGTTATTTTAAGGGCCACCTAAGTTTGAACTACCTTGCCAATAAATACATGTTTACGACCATTTCCGGAAACGATTCGTCGACTAAAAGATAATGTAAAGCCGGCCACTATGCAACCAAGTCAGTCATTCACTGGCAGACGTCACGAGCGGAGTTATTCATCGAAAGGCTGGGAACCATGATGACCGATGACGCTATATTACCTTCTCGACTCTAAGTATTCAACCAGGAATCACCGATCTTCTCTAAGGTTTGCGCTAAGAGAACCTAACTTAGCCGAAGCCGCACAGCTGTACCCGTAGTATTGTACTCAGGCTAGTGGTGTGGGTGTGCTAAACTAGCCGGGTATAACGTTACAAGGTGTTTGAAAGAAGTAATTTGCTTAACTTCCTGGAAGGCATTATATGGACATTTTTTCTGATGTGTGCACATATCTAAAGATAACCTAAAGAAGTTATATTTTTGTTGTACTTACACTTTATACTTGTGAGTTTTGAGTATCATATATTATTATTATATCCTAACCCTTTGCCGATTATATAGGAATACAAACATCTCTCTCTTATATTCAGCTTTTATACATAAATTATAGTTATAATCGACAAATCGTCGTTTGGCGACAATAAAGGTCAAGAGTTGAGGCATGCCTCTATTCAACACAATAAAGTAGAAAATTTGACTACCATCAGAATCTGCTCACCAATTATACGCTTAATACGATACTTAGCTGATCTGATAGCTGATTCTTAAAAACCTCCAAAGTTTAGGGTAGAAGCAGAATTAAAGTGTCACCTGATTTTTCTCACTCATAGGCAAAATTAGGATTACTACTGCGTTCTATCAACATTCGTTTCAATTCAGCATCAGCACCGATGGATTTCGTGCCACGATTACTAAGTATGTACAGAAGCCACGTCTACAAACGAACTTGTTACAGACAGCTATAAAAGTCTCCTTTAAATAATATTCTACGACTTTAAGATGCACAGCCCGAGTTGTCACTCAGATTAAAACTGTAATACAGCCCTTTACAATACCTGTACCCCTTTGTTTTAACATGCGTATTAAAAAGGGAACGGCATAATTGATTCCTGACTTTTAAAAGAGAGGACTCAGAAAAATAATAGAACAAAGTCAGTAACTCATTAACTAAGTTTTGCCGTTTTTTTAAGATATCGTTTACAAGAGACAGAATAAGTCAGATCTGCTATTATAGCCTGTCTACCACGTAAAATCTAATGAGTTTGACAGTGTAATAAGCATCAACTGTGATCCTCCATGAAATGTCAATCAGTAATTATAGTCAATGAGCACAGAGGTCAGCTGGTTTCTATCTGCGAGTATCAAAGGATGTTTAGAATTATCATCAAGTAAAACTTTACTCAATCTAATCTATCCCCAACTCTTATCAAACCACAGATAAGGAACAGCAATGAGTTACGCAAATGGCTAGATCAAGGTACTAATAAGCTAGCTTCAAAGGAACGATCTTGATTTTGAGTTAGTACTTTTAACTCAGCAGAAAAGTACACAGTTGATGTTAATAAGCTAGACACAAAATAGCGCAATCAATTTCTAAGGTAGGAAGGAGAATCGAATCAACTTTAATAGAAAGACAAATTTAGAAACTGCAAACTCAAATAAAAAAAGGAGGCTTCAGATTTTTAGCTATAAACGTATAAAGGTTTTTAAAGTTATACTTCTATAGGCACGTTGTGCGCAAGATTAAATCAACAATTTCAGAATTCTGATCTTGAGAAAATATGTGATGAAAATGGATTTTACATGTAACTTCCCCTTCACCTCGTCTCACTCACCGTACCATCCAGAACCACTCCGCTCCACACCACGCCACGCCACCACATTACAGTACACACTTTTAATTTTACTTAATTTTGTTTTTTATTCTTTAAACAGTTCTCTACAAAAAAAAAAAAAAAGGAAAAATTCAGTTACTTCTTGTGATGGTATGGTTTGTAACTTATTTTTAATAAAAATACGAATCAACTGTCAAATAATTAATTTAGTTTTATTTAGAAGTTAAATTAATTAATAAATTATACATTCAAGAAACTAATTTTTTCTTTTTAATACTTTATTTGAAAACTTAGAAATTATTATATTTTAGCAGTACAGCTTTCCTAAGTATAAATAAATATTTTTTTATCTATCATTTATTTGTTAACCATAAATAAATAACTATTTACACTATTTTTTCTATTTAAAAAAAAAAAGAAAAATTTTTCAAACTTTTTTTTTGTATGCTATGAACAGATTATTTAATTTTCATTTTTTTTTACTATTTCACAATCTGTTATTTGGAACGTACGTGATTTTTCCACTTAAAAACATTCACTACAGTTAGCAGGGTAAATGTTAAGAAATGTGAGAGGATCGCAAATATGCAGCAATACTGGCAGATATTTTTCTCACATGGATAATACTTAATCCACTCATTTATGCATACTCGACCTCTTTTTTGGTGTTTTATAAAAAAAAAACTACTTATTGATCTCTATGAAAATTTCATAAGTTTATCTAAAAGTAATCTTTTAAACAAAAAAAATTAGGAAATCTCTATACATTATATAAAAGAAAGCTTGCGTGATTCTGCCATAGGGATGCATGTTAAATTACGATTTTTTTAAATTAACCATATTCAAAAAGAGTACAGTTTAACGGTTTGCAACTTTTTATAGGTATTTTTTATGCTATTTTAAATATATGTTTAACGTTTGAATAATATCTGTCGAAACAACTTATGTATGATAAACGTCCTGAAGGGACACTTACTAGCATGTAACATTATCCTATTAAAGAAAGCAATACTGCAAGATGTTTTTCTCAACCTTTTAGATATAATTTTATTTTTGGTATTAAGAATAAACTAGAATGAAGTTGTT